GGGGGGGTGGGTATATGCCTGGCTTAATTGGTAAAATGTTATTACAAAATAAATCTGGTATGTGCATCAGATCAGATTTGTCTCGTGTGTTTCCATGTTGTGAGATCTTCTCATTATTGATGTTGTCTCTTGCAGAAGAGCATCAGAGCAGCAGGTGACTCTGATCCTTCTCTCCAGTCACAGACACAGATGGATGATGCTTCTGGTCAAACTAAGTCTCCTCAACAGGTACGTTCACATTAAACACTGAAGACTTAAGTCGACTGTCTGTTTTTGTCATGTTTCGAGCATATTTTGATGCGTATCTGGTGTAATTTAGTTCACCCAACAGTTTATCAACATGTGTCCAGTGGTAGTGAAATAAAGAGGCCACGATACGGGACTCCACTGAATTTCACCTCAGAAGAATTTAGTAAAACAGCTGTTTATTAAACACTGCATACTATAGTGCCATTGCTAACTAATTAGGCTAATTGACCTCTGCATTATGAAGGGCCTCCATAACTGTACCACAGTACAATATAGGTAATGGCATCCCAGACAGCAGACAGTTTCGGCCCAGATCCGGCCCACATCTGACCCGTATGGATTTCACATGGGCCAGATGTGGGCCGGATCTGGGCCAACACTATGTTGCTGTCTGGGATATGTTTCATGTTTACATTGGCAAGGCAAGGCAAGGCAATTTTATTTATATAGCACATTTCATACACAATGGTAATTCAAAGTGCTTTACATAAAATATATGAAAAAAGAAGAAGAAAAAAATCACAACAATAAAACAAGGAATTTAAAACTTTGAAAATGATTTAAAAATTGATTTAAGAGGTTTAAAATACATTTAAAACAGTTAAGAATAGAAAATAATTATACATAAAATATAGTGCAATCAGTTCGGACATTGCACAGTGCTCATTCAGTAAATGCATAAACCATTACAATAGTCCACCCTGCTGGTGATAAAGGCATGAACAAGTTTCTCCAAGTCTTGACTGGAAACAAAACATCTAATTCTTGCAATGTTTTTTAGATGATAGTATGTTGATTTAGTTACTGCTTTGACATGACTACTGAAACTAAG